ATTCACCCTAACCCTAACCCTAACCCTAACCCTAACCCTAACCCTAACCCTAACCCTAACCCTAACCCTAACCCTAACCCTAACCCTAACCCTAACCCTAACCCTAACCCTAACCCTAACCCTAACCCTAACCCTAACCCTAACCCTAACCCTAACCCAGCTGGAAGCGCAGGGCTTTTGACAATGCTGGCCGGCGGTAACAGTTGAACATTATGGTTCAGCATGACGGCCGTGGAGCATGCCCTTCCGGCGGACGACGCGACGTCCGTCAGTGCGGAGCGGTTAATTGTGGGACGGACATTCGGCGCCTTGCGGCCCTGACGCCCGGATGCGAGATACGACAGTGTCTCGGATTACTGGGGCCAGGCCTCGGTGATTTCTTTGCCTTCAGCACTAGAGCGGGAGCCCGTGCCGGGATCCAGGTGAAGTGCCTTGTCCCTGTCGGACTTGCGGACATTTTGCTTACCAGGCAGGATCCAGAGGGTCGGACTTATCTCAAATCACGAATCGCGTGGAGCGGACCTACCAGGCAGCAAAAAATTAAAGTCCGCAGGAAAACTTTATTAGCAATACGAGCCCATATCGCCATCGCCGTGGCGCAATAAAATCCGGCGCGGCGTAGCGTGGCTCGCTGTGCCTCAAGATAACCAACATGGAAATGGGAGGGACGCCCTTGAGGCAAATTACAACGACAGAGGAATGCCATCAGGTAATTGCTGCTGGCAGTGCTACTGCAACAGCACAATCGAACTTACATGGACTCCAATACTTCACCGGGACGGGCTTTGAATGGATTAGCGGTGAGTTTGGTTGCGAATGGTTTTGCTGTCAATCCCCGTCATCTGCTCTCACGATGGTGTCCTAACACGAAGGTTGCCTTCAGTGTCTTGCCTGCAAGTCCCGAAAGGTAAATATTACCCTACGCTTGACATTTGGCTCTGAGCAGTAAAAACTGGCGCAAGTTTGCTTCATGGAATCTGCTCACATCAATCTAGACCAGATGCGACCGTTCGAATCCCACCTGCGATGGCTGCTTTGCGCGGCGTCAACCGTGTATCTATCCTAAGCGCAAGGCAAGAAAAAAGGCGAATTCGGCTGCCAGGCGACCAAATCCGCAGTATGTCTCGGCCTGTGCGAGCTCGCAAGCCTGTCTCTTTTCCGTCGATCGTTGATGTTGACGTGCCATCGGACGCCAGCGACGGAGTTCTCTCAAATCTCTTCGACCGACTTCTCCAGGTCGAAGAGAAGTGCTCGAAACTTGTCGGCAGCATTCCCCAGGTCAAGGTGTCGCCGCTGGTAGCTGACAGCGACTCGGAAACAAGTCCATTCTCGCTTCTTGGGGCGTCACCACCCGCAAAGGTTACAGACGATGCTCTCGCAGAGGTGGCAGGGCATAGCGTGGGAAGCAGCCTTGAGAATTCATATTCCACCGATACGCTTCTCGCGGAGGCTCTTGCTCAAGTGGTATATTTGAAACACCAGGGAGCCACATTCAATCGCATCCACGAGACTCATGTTCCACCAGACATTGCAAGACGTGTCTTCACAGTAGATGCCGCCATGCATA